GACTCGCTTGAGCCCAGGAGTTGGAGGTTGCTGTGAGTGAGATGCCACAGCACTCTACCCAGGGGGGATAGCTTGAGGCTCCATCTCAAAAAAAAAAAAAGAGCCACAGGGAACACTGGGGTCAAGCCAGGACCAGAGGTGCGTGAGGCTGTCACAGCCCTAGACCCACAGAGGAAGTGTCTTCTAAATAGCCTACCTGTCTTTTCCTTAATCTCACAGAGCACACTGAAGAGAGCAGGCTTCATCCGATGGCAATTCAGAGCATGCTTTCTGAAAGAGAGGTGACAGGAGCATGTGAGAAAAAGGGAAGAATCATCTTGTCCCCAGAGTAAAGATCCTCCATATTGAGAAATCAAACCAAGACTGCCAGTCTGCCAGTCCTATTGATAATGCCTCTTATGAAGATGCAGTACAACCACATTTTATATGAATTTGATTTGTATAAAATTAAAATAAAACAATAAATATTAAAAACATTTCTCATTAGAAGTATAGATAGGGCGGCACCTGTGGCTCAAGGAGTAGGGCACTGGCCCCATATGCCGGAGGTGGCAGGTTCAAACCCAGTCCTGGCCAAAAAAAAAGAAAGAAATGGTCTCGGAGCTTGCCTTTCTTTTACTGTCTCAACATAAAGTTGAACCATTTCTATACCATATTGTTATGTGTGATGAAAAAAACATTCTTTTTGACAACTTGAAAGCATTCAGCATAATGGTTAGATAAAGATGAAGTGCTGAAATAGTCCAAAACTGAATATTCATTAAAGAAAGCTAACGGTGGCTCAGCGCTCATAAGCACAGTAGTTATGGCACCAGCCACATACACTGGAGCTGGTGGATTCAAATCCAGCCACGGCCAGCTAAACAACAATGACAACTAAGTCCCCAAAATAGCCAGGCACTGTGGCAGGCACCTGTAGTCCCAGCTACTTAGGGGGCTGAGGCAAGAGAATCACTTAAGCCCAAGAGTTTGAGCTGTGACACCATTGCACTCTACTCGGGGCGATATGAGACTCTGTCTCAAAAAAAAAAAAAAAAAGCAAGCTAATGGTGTCTGTTTGGTGGTTCAGCACTGGTATTATCCACTACAGCTTCACAAAACCTGGCCAGCCAATTACAGCAGACATTGACTGTAACAAAATGGATTACAAGGTGAGGAAGCTTGTGATTAAGCAGCCAAGATTGGTCAATAGAGACAGGACAACCCTCTTGTAAGACAATGCTCAACTACATGTCACACAAATAATGCTGCTCAAACAACAGAAGCTAGACTTGGAAACACTCTGTCACCCATCATATTCACCATGCCTTGCACCAACTGACCACCAGTTCTTCAAGGCTTTAAAACACTTTTTTTTTTTGTGACAGAGTCTAACTATGTCACCCTCAGTAAGTGCCGTGCTGTCACAGCTCACAGAAACCTCAAACTCTTGGGCTTTAAGTGATTCTCTTGCCACAGCCGCCCAAGTAGCTGGGACTATAGGTGCCTGCCACAACGCCCAGCTATCAAAACACTTCTTACAAGGAAAAATATTCAATTCTCAACAAGATGTGGAAAATGCCTTCTGTAATTTTATCACCACCTGCTCTCCAGGCTTCGTTATGGCTGGCGTAATTAAGCTACTATTAAGATGGCAAAACTATGTTGATAGTTAAGGTGCATACTTTGATTAATTATACTTCTTTAGTAACTTCTGATTCAAAATTGAACATTTCATATTTAATAACCTAATAAATTTTTGGTTTGGGGCCAGTTGTGGTGGCTCACACCTGTAATCCTAGCACTCTGGGAAGCCGAGGGGGGTGGATTGTGTGAGCTCAGGAGTTCAAGATCAGCCTGAACAAGAACAAGACACCATCTCTATTAAAAATAGAAAAACTGACACAAGAGGATCACTGGAGCCTAGGAGTTTGAGGTTGCTGTGAGCTATGCAACACCATGGCACTCTATTTAGGGCAACAAAGTAAGATTGTCTCAAATATAAATAAATAAAATTTTATTTTTTTAAACCATTAAGTTTGCTAATTTTTTAAAGTGGCAAAAGAAAACTACAAAGGAAGCAATGGAAGATTTTGCAATGGTTGTCATATAACACAAATTGCATATTTTTAGTGATTTTTTAAGATGTTATTACATACTATAAAATTCATCCTTTTGGCTCAGCGCCTGTGGCTCAAGAGGCTAAGGCACCAGCCACATACACTTGAGCTGGCGGGTTCGAATCCAGCCTGGGCCCGCCAAACAACGACGGCTGCAACCAAAAAACAGCCGGGCGTTGTGGCGGGTGCCTGTAGTCCCAGCTACTTGGGAGGT